CGTGCCTAGACCCATTTGTTCTGTCCTCTTTGGAATACATGTATCTGGCTTCACTTACTGCCTTCTTCCATCCTGTAGGAAGTCTCGGGACGATAGAGTTGCTGTGCTGAAGCACAGGCAAGGCAGACGAGCTAGTCATGAGAAGCGTTCTCGCAAACCGCCATCACAGCGTTCGAATAGAACTGGCGCATACAAACTTTACAGACTAATTTAAACACAGTCTGTACGACATACATGCCCTTGTGACCAAATGATTTTTGAGGTAGATTTCTAGCACTCATTAAACTCCCAAAGTATCTCTCGTTGGTCGAAAGTTGTAATTTTAATTCGAAGGTGGCTCTAAAGGCGAGGGTAAAATTACCAGGGTCGGACGAAAACTTAATGCATTCCACTTTTTAGCCATCCCAACAGCATTATGTTCTCTGTAATTTTTTGGTTAAGTGACTGACACGATGGATTGCACTCATCTAGCTGTTACCGCAAGAGCTGTTGAATAAAAGCATTCATCAATACACAATGCTTTCTACCACCTGTCATTTCCGAGGCCTAAACACGGATTTTGTAGGAGAAATTCCAACACGAAACCTCTCCAGATAGTTCACGGAGGTGTCGCTTCAGTTGTTAATAGCTTGTTTGTGGACAAAGAGAATAAGGTGAAACCAGATGCAGACGTCCACCCAAATCCTTTTGTTGTGAAGGGTCCAGGGATTCTCCGTCACCAAGATAAATGCACCTCTTTCAATTCACGTCCCTTTTCGCCTGTATCCTCACCCATTGCACTTCGATAGGATCAGACTTCCTTCTACGCATGTATAGCTCATGATCGCTAGTGCACATCGTCAAAATGCGTTTACTAATCTTGGATCTCCTCACTAAGGGATAGAATTCCTTTGCAGTCTTTTCTGCTGGTCTGATTATAAACTTCTTGTCGTGAAAAGAGAGGTTTCGCCTTTCCGGTCAAGGGAACCCGATTTTGGGGTATCTGCATGCATTGAACCAGTGCATAACCCGATGGAACCACTACTCATCCGCTTGTTCGTACTGTTCTTTTCCGGAAATCGGTTGATTAATTGGCACAGTTTAGCAACACAAACGTAAGATGTCAGTAGGACGGCGATGCCTGTTGGAAATTGATTTATCCGGCCACTACGTCGCTATTAAAAAACGACCTACGATAAACAAGCCGCAGAGAGAGATCCCATCTCAGCTGGAGCAGGAGGTCTCCAAAATCACTTTATAACTAAAAGTCGTAATAAAATGTTGGGCTCGCTTTTCACTGTCACCAATAAAGAGAAGAATAGAGAGGTATTGTAATGATTTGTTTGTCACTGTAGAATTTCTCTAGTCCTTGTTCACGTGGGCTGGCCTTCGGGCCACACTCAGGCTCCATTTGCGCTGTCGTCTTCGGGATACATGCATTCAACCTCACTTATGCCTTTTTCCACCCTATGGTAAGCCTCGGGACGCAACAAGGGGGCCTGCCAAAATGAAGTGCATTAAAGCGATGAAGATAGTAAAGTATTAACTATTAATGACTTTGAAACACTTTGCATTTCGAGGACTTTTATCATGCTTAACGCACGTATGAGTTCGTAGAGAAGATCACACCATTCACTGTTGGACTCCCAACAGACGTTTTGCGAGTAGGAAGGCTATTAAAATAGTACACTGTAGGTAGCTAAATTAAATGACAGTTAATAATTTAAGGTATATTACTTAAATTTTGTTTGATTTTAATTCTTTAAAAAATTATACATTGTTTTAATTGGTTGCACTTCAGATTATTAAGGCCAGCGATTTCAAGTTGTGTGTCTTGTCTCGCAGCTGAGTCTGCCTTTGGTGGGTGTAGGTCATTTTGGAGTGTTTTCATTTGGGGTGACTGCTTTACCGCTAGGTAGTGAAAACGCAGATTTCCTTGTAGTTTTCTTTAGGCTGTCCTGATTCAAAGTCTTTGCTGCAACAAACATGACAATCAGTCTATTCTTTCCTGTTGTCTACTGACCCACGAGAATTTAAAGTTCCCACTATTTATCAACAAGTCATTCGTCACTCTGATTTTTTTGCTCTGAATCCTGTTTTTTATTAACATCTGGGAATTGGATGCATTTACTTCGTCCTAGAGTCTTACAATGGAATTAAGCTTGACATGCTTGCACTCGTGCGATCTAAGGGAGGAGTTCAAGGGGAAGTCCCTCTTACCCCATATTCAGATGTATGATCTCGTTTTTTTTACTGCAATTTCAATAGATTAAGCGTTACTGGATTTAATCCAGAAGACTTCAGAATCATTAACGGCCAATATAATTCCCTTGCTTGCTATGGGGAAGTCAGGGTGGCATATTGCATCACAAGGGACTTTCCGCTCACTGTGCATCGTTTTGGACCTTGGAGTGAAATTCTTCCTACGAGAGACAACTACACTGAGCCAGTACTTTTCAACGAAAATGTCGAACTAGGCTTAGCCTATTGCTACCTCTACGACTTCTATGGGATCTGTTTTGTACTTTGTTCTACCTACACCGACAGCGGAGGTGTGCACGACCAGTACTTGGGTGCATGCAATCTCCGACTGTACAATTCGAAGAGGTAGGTTTCTCTCTTGACATTGATTAGCTTTACTAGGGTATTCCGTAATGGCATCTACGAGTTGGAACTCTATTTGCTGAAGGATTACAAGCTAAAGGACCTGGATGATGTCGTGGAGTGCGTAATGGAACGTGAGATGGACGGAAAACCGAGAGGCATGAAGGATCTGAACTACCTGCTAAAAGTGCGTCGGAAACAAACTCGTGGTGAACTTGTTGGGACTTCGATCGATCAGAAAGCCCTTTCTGTTGTGGAGTCTCGGATTGAAGAGTTGAAACGTGGCAGTGGTAAAATATTCCTCCGCGTGAAGTTTGAATTTTCGCGGTCCTACCCCTCCCTCTATGTGCCGGTAGTATTCAAGCATGCGGTGAGTGGCGTTTCCGTTGCTTGGCTAGTTGCTAATTTCTTTCGCAGTTAATCGTAACCTACTTATATTAGGTGATGCCTGCGGTAGAAGAAAATAAATGGCCAGAGAAGGTGAGTTATTTGGACTGAATATTGTGGCTATTACCTAGTGGAATCCATATGACGAAATGTATTTCAAGATGACGCGAAACATTCATACAATAGATGTAGATAGACAAAGGATACCGAACAAGGAGACACTGGAAAGATTGAAGGTGCGTTCATGGAGTTTTTGTTGATGATTTAACTTGATTTCCTTTATTTAGGTGCTTATTGAATCTGAGTATGGGGAGGTGCTGTCGGAGAAGGACGGTGATTTAATCTGGCAGTTTAGATTCTACCTAGCAAATAAATTCCCGGAGGTAACTATTTCTCTGATTTAATTGAGCATTGAGTTCTATGTTCCCTTGAAGGCAAGCATTTTCGTATATTATATTGGAAGAGAGCTTGTTGAAACTATTATTGGTATTATCTTTGAAGTTGGACTCTGAATAGTATCGATGCCTTTTTGAGTATGCAATTTTATTCATCGTGACAGTCATTTAGCCCTTGAAACCGACTTAGTTCTTGATGATAAGCTCCCAGAATAATTGGTGACATTATTGCAATCCTTGATAGCGTTACCAGGGTATTGGGCACGCCTTTAATATCGCAACTACCATCTTCGGCTTTGGTACAGTTGAAGGTTGTGCTTGAAGTTTGCACTAGTGTTGATATGGTAGCAATGGGAGCTGGTTACCAGCTGGATATGGTATTTTGAAATTGCTAAACATTTGAAGCCGACAGTGAGTGGAAGTTGTTCTTTCTTTCTGGATAGACGGCACTACCTACTTTTCTGCTCTCCGTGCGATGGCAATATCCAGAGCAGGTGAGCCAGGCAGTGGAATTGCTACTTAGTTGGTCGTCCTCCTCTGTCTCACCTGAGGCGGTACTTGAACTGCTAACCCGCACGTACACTCACCCTGTGTGTCGTCGGTTTGCTGTCTCTCGCCTCTGTCAAGCTTCCGACGAGGTGAGTCTGTTTCCCTTCCTAATCTGTCTCATTCTTCGTTGATGTTCTACCTTTCTTGAACTTGAATGATGACAGTGCTTCAGTGAATTAGACAGGGAAGTGGTTTTTTACATGCTTAAGCAATTCATTGGATTCATCTTTCTGGAAGTGAACTGTCAATTTACCACTGTTTTGAGCACATTAA